CTAGCCTGTATACCCAAACATGGGCAGGTTGGTAAGTGACAAGCTCTCTAGTCCAAAGACAGCAGGCTTTGGAGTCAGTTCGTCTCCAGGGAACATCCAGACACTGACACTTTTCAACGTAGAATTTTGGCCCGTGACATTACTGCCTCCCTCACAGGACTGTTGTGTGATGATGCATTCACGTGCTTAGCAGGGTGATGAAACGTACTATTAGTTTAAAACATATCTGAGTTTCATTTCTTCCCCTCATACTTGGCCCCTGTTGAAAAGTGTTACTGAAGACCACATAGCCTCTGTGTGAGTGAATAAAGGAGCTACAGACAAAGCTGGTGTTTACCCATAGCTTTGCCCCTACCTGTTTAAACTAGATTATTTTCCTCCAGTTTTTCCCATTAAAAATAATTGCTTCCAAATATATTTGAATATATTAATTTCTTTTCTTTCTCCTCCCTTCTCCGAGAATTACAACTAATAGATCAAAACTTGAGAGCAGAGCGTATGTGAGTCACTAAAACTAAAATAAGGGCAAGTTAACAGCCTAAACTTCTGTAGCACTTGTGCAGGAAAACTGACTGATTTTGAGGTTATAGAAACAATCTCTATGAGTTTGCAACACTCACGCCTGTTTTATGTCCAAAGCTGCATTCATTCCCCACCCTGCATTCTAGCCTTATATTCTACCAGATTGATTGGGTGGAATTCAATTCTGCTTGACATTTTTGCAAACACCTGGCCCCAATTACAGTTTTGTTAAAAAATATTTTTCCTACGAAAATATTTTTTTCATTCATCCTGAACCTTTATGACCATTTCCAAGATCCTAAGTTAGTACATCTGGAAAACAAGTGAGTATTCTCTTAAACCAATTCCTAAGTATACCTTTCAGCTTCCAAAATGATGTTCTCAAGTCAAAGGATCAATGACACTGTGTGCAATTATACTTGGCAATTACTTTTCCTGATTTCACAATAATGGGAGCTAAACTCTGGAAGAAATAAGGGGCAGCCCCAGATTACTGCACGGCCCTGCCACCTGTGAGGGTGGGGCAGTGAAAGCTTGGGAGTGCCAGCAGGGGCTCTGGGAAGTCAAGTCTTTTACCAGGTTAAAAATGTCAGCAGAAAAATATTTCCACATAGTATATTAAAGAATACTCTCATCCATTCTATTTTATTGGACATTAATGGCACTTATTAATTAAGGCACACGTCCCTTACAAAACGAATGAATAAATGTTTACCAACCAAATTAAAAGCAGAAGCTTTCCTGTCAAAAGAAAAAAAAACGAATGAATGAAATACTCAAGGAAAAGGACTGGTGTGCTGCTGAGGGGGAAAAATATGTCCTGCATTTTTTAGATGAAGCAGAAATATAAGTTCAGAATCTTAAAATCTCAATCTATTCAATCTCTCAAAATTAGAAATTAATTGCCACTTTGCCAGGTGTTTGCCACTGAAATTTAACTTCTGAGTTGGTTCTTATAAATTAAAAAATGTTACCACTTATATGTGGAATCTAAAAAATAAAACAAGTGAATGTATATAACAAAACAGAAACAGACTCACAGATACGGAGAACAAACTTGTGGTTACCAGTGGGGAGAAGGAAGGGGGGAGGGGCAAAATAGGGGTTGGGGATTAAGAGGTACAAACTACTATGTATAAAATAAATAAGCTACAAGGATATATTGTACAACACAGGGAATATAGCTATTATTTTGTCATAACTTTAAACGGAGCATAATCTATAAAAATATTGAATCTATGTACTATGCTGTACACCTAAAACTTAATATAATATTGTAAGCCAACTGTATTTCAATTTAAAAAAATAAGGAGAAATCAAGAATTTGGTAGGAGACTGGATGTTGAAAGCCTATTTAAAAGAAAAAGGCAAGCTGCCTAAAATGTAGAATGGCCAAAGAAAATATTTACAATGCAACATTTTAAGTCAAGCGCTTATAAATGTAGTTGAAATAAATAAATACATTAGACTGTATTTGCTATAACATAAAGTAAAACTTCCTAACAAGATTATGAAAGTGATTTTTATTATTTTGGTAATGGTGTCCTATTACAGGTAATTACAGGTGTAGACTTTTTAAATTTGGTATATCAAACAGTAAAAGCCACATATTAATGCTGTGTCCCCCAAATCTATTTCGGTTACAACTATGTATTACAGTTGCTATGTACAGATGGAAAGCATACATGATAAAATACAAAAACAAGAAAAGGTTAAATAAGAAGTTATCCTTGAATTATAAACATCTACTAAATAAAGTATACCTTTGTATTACACAGTTGTGTCATAGCTAAAAAACATACAAATTAATACATAAGGCTGTGCAACTATTTGATCTAATATAGATGTGATATGAAAATATTAAGGCCATAATAGCATTTCACAGGTAAAGGCTAAGTTCTGAGACATGAAAGCTTTTAGATAATCCACAAAACAAACCTGAGACATCTTCCTCTTGTTTTGGAAAAAAAGCAGTTTCCTTACAAAGTCAAAGCTTTAATATATAAATGAAGCATTTAATAAACAATATACTTTAACTATTGTAATAACCTGGATTAGGTGTTCTGAGTAAAATGGTGACCAGCAAGTAGATTCTTTCTCTGGCAGAAATAATATTAGATTTTCTGATCAAGCTTGTAACCTGATTACGGTAGCCCCCAAATTTGGTTATTTTTATTTGTTTGTTTTGGGTTTTGCTTTCCTTCCTTTAACTGGGTTACAAACATATTAAATAAACCAGGAAATCTCCCACCTTACTTTCTTCTACCTCAGCCTACTGCCGAAAGTGCCAGATGAACCGAGCCTACGGACATAAAAACGGGCTACAGCACATCTGGACCCGGTTGACTTAAGCAGGCATCCAGATTGGTACATGATTACTTTTGCTGCCACACCATCTCTCAGAGTAAGCAGGCTAGGGCAGCCCCAAATTACTGTCTCAGCCCTGCAGGGGGTGGGGTGCAGGGAAGGGTGGGTAACAATGTTTTGAAATAGCCAGTACCCCCCCCCAAATTGAAATGTATTGGGTAAGCCTGATTTCCACAGTTGACTTTAGTGCCTTTAAAAATACTGGCGCAGTGTTTTCATATTCAAGAGGTACAGCTGTGAGATTTTATTAATTAAAATTATATAAAATTTTTATTAATAAAAATTCCAAATTATAAAATAGAGTTGCTATGTTGTAGATTTTTAAAAATCTATTTGGGATTCAACACTGGCACATGGAACATCTTTCTTCTAAATATTCATACTTCAAACTAATTAATTTTGAAGGAGTAGGAGAATGTCTAACCATCTTTCTTCCTTTTCTTTTTGTTTTCCACTCCTTTCTCTTACCAGACCCCACAACCATCATACACTCCTCCCTTTATAATTTCGATAAAAAGTTTCCTAAAAGTTTAATGAAATGTAACAAGCAGTAAGCTTTTAGGACACTGCACAACTTCTGGACGTTTGCGAGCAAAAAACTTAAAACTCCAAACTTCACTTTGTACACTGTCAATCTTCCATCACTTTTTAAAAAAGGTTTTCAGGTTATTTACATAAACTGAACATATATATTTTGTTCAAGCTTTATGTTTTCACAGTTACCAAAGTGACTGCTCGCTGGGTCGGCCATCTTAAATAGCACAACTGATCTGACTGGCTCCACTGAAATGCAATGCAATCCTCCAAACAATCTCCCAAGACTGATTCTGACTTTCCAAAACACAAACACCAATGCTATTTTTTGAAAATCATTTAAAAGAGAAACTAGGTCCATTATAATGGGAATTTCCCCCCTTGTTATTTAATAAAGAACATCCAGATAATTCATTGCATTTTTTCATTCTTCCCCAGAGGCAGACACAGCTTCCATCTCTCTGCCTTTCACAGGCTAATGGTCAGATTTCCAGTAACTTCCTAGAACTCAATAATCAGAATGGCTTTAAAATAAAATTAAAATTTAAGCACGTCAAGAGTTTGGAATTAAAACATATTAACTGGATCAATTTCAAAAAAAGATTCTGTATTGTGAATATAATTTTAATAAGCATGTTGTAAAGTGATAAGGAACACATCTTGCAGATCTAATTTTGAGATTTTTCATTCAAATTTTGGATGAGAGAAGAGACTTTGCTTCAACTTGCTTTCCATGATGTCAAAAACAGCTGATTTAATCAAGTTCATACCATGTATTTGAACCAAAATTGGTTAAATTAGTTGTACTTTTCTATTTGCTATGACATTATAAAAGACACTTTTCAACCCTTTCTTGACCAAAATAATTAATACTGTTTAATAATAAAATAACTAATACATATTGCTTCTGAATAATTATGTAATATATGTACCCATATTGAACACTACTTGGTGACTTTTTAACCTATGAGATTTACTGAAGTCAGTACATTACAATCACACAACTTAAAGCTTAGCTAAGCTGGTAAATTTTTTTTCTCATGATTGAAATTCTGTACTTTGGCAACCAAGAGCAGTATACTTCAGCTTGGAATTTTTTACAATTTACACTTCAAAATTCATGAAATCACTGAAACCCACTAAATCAACTGCTATTAATTTCTTTCCAAGCAAATAGCTTTATGACTCATCCAGAAAAGTAACAGGAAGCACATCAGTTGGCAAAAAGATAAATCCATCCATAGATATTAGAGCCTAACTAAGCTATTTTATTGAAAAGGTGAGAAGGGAATTTCTGGTCTTTACTTTTTCCCTTATCACCCCAAATCCCATGTCTTACGCTGAAATTATTTGCCTTTGCATATTCAACAGTATTTCCTGAAACTTTGCTTGATACGGTTTTCGATGGAGCAGACTTCAGCACACAGAACATGAATCTTGGATCCCACCCGACAAGGCATGGTTACTAATATGCCTCTTTATTAGGTAGTTCTGTATATATGCACATGTGTGTTTTAACTCCAAAGAATGCTCCCTCAAGAAATTATTACCAACATTCAATATATGTATAAAAATTCTTTGGGTCCTTTAATTCTTTGACTCAAAATATCTCCTGGAGCTCCTACACAGCCCACTGCTCATGAGGTGCCATTCTGAGGACATGTGTACAAAGCACATCATCTGCGGGTCAGTTGGTTTATGCTCACTTTAGAGGCTAATTGAGAAAGTAGCACAGAGGAGCTAGGGAAAAAAAAAAAAAAACACCTTAATTTTACTCTCCATCCCCCAAGACTTGGGTACTTATAAAATTTCTGCTTGCCTCTGGCTTCTCACTGGCAGTCTTCCTCAGCTTGTAACTTTTGGACAGCACTATCAAGGAGCTCCATGGACTCTCTGAGAGTGACATTGATTTTAAATGACTTGGGTTTAATGGTCAGGCCGTAATTAAAATCCATTTTCGAAGGCTCGTCTGGATTGGCCCTGAAATTGCACTCATGAGCTAGGATGGAGATGAAGAGAAACAGCTGCATCTTGGAAAGCTCTTCCCCGATGCACCGCCGTTTGCCCACTGAAAAAATCATCACACTGCTGGCCAGGTCCTTATTGATGAAGCCATCCTTGTCCAAGAATCGGGCTGGATCAAAGTCTTCTGGGTTAGACCATTTCACTGGGTCATGATTCACGGACCACTGGTTAACAAAAACCACCGTGTCCTTGGGGATGTGGTAGCCCAAGACAGAAGCGTTGGCCCTGGTGGCATGAGGAATGGTGACGGGCACAAAGCTGGAGAAGCGCATGGCTTCATAAAGAAAGGCCATGACGTAGGGCAGGTGCGGTTGGTCGTCCAGGCAGGGCAGCCGGTCCCTACCCACCACTTGATCCAGTTCTGCCTGTACCCGAGCCTGCACTTCCGGATACCTGTTTGGTTTTTAACGCAGAGAGAGAAAATAAGTCAGGAACACTAATTCTTCTTTCATCTAGAAAGCCCATTACAGTTTATTTTAATACCACTGTTCTTTAAACTGGCTATCTGAATCAGAAACTGAATTAAGATTTCCAGCAAAAAAAAAATCTAAAATGGTTTCCTAATTTATCACTGCATTACAAGATGGAGTTTGTTATATTTCCTGTAATAAGTCTCCCATGGCTCAAGCTCTCTTTCCCATCATAAGTCAAAAAAAGGTCTAAGTTTTCTCAGCCTGAAAAAGCATAACAATGGATAAGGTCGACTTCTCCATTGGGCACAGCAGGGACAGTGCCTAGGACCCACAGCACTTTTGAGGGACTCATGAAAATTCTTATCAGAAGAAAATAAACTTTTAGGTCAATGAGAATGTTTCAATATATAATTTTAATATATTAATCTTTATACCATTGTAGTCATAAAATTTAATTTAAAAAATTTTTATTGAATAAGATGTCTACAAAGGCAAAAGCACCGAGGTCCACAAAAATTAAAATGTAATCCTCAAAGTGGGTTCTTCTTTTCTCCTCATCTCCCTAGACAATTCCAGCAGACACACTGTTCTCATTTTATACAAAGATAATTGGTATCCCGAGAGATAAAGCTGCATATCTTCTAAATTTAAAAGCAAATCCTCAATGTTCACGAGATTACGGTACAGATTGTAATACTTATTCACTGTTGCCAATAAAACTAGTACAATCTTTTCGGAAAACAAAGCAAGATCTATAAGGGTAACTCCTCCCCACCCTTTTAAAACCCAGTGATCTAGAAATGTATTTTCAGGAAATAACTTAGCAGGTACAAAAACATAACCACAATAGCTGAAATTTTAAAAATGCAATCAACATTAAAACGCAAGAAATGATTGTACATAACAATCCGTTACTATGGCAAAATGTTATGTAGCCATAAAAAATTACTAAAATCAAGTTTAAAAGACAGGGAAATGTCCACTACAGTGAGTGGAAATGTCAGAAGTCAAAACATTTGTAAATAATTCTTGCGAATCTGAAAAAAAAATTAAGCACACATGTGGTGAAATTATGGGTGATTTTAAAAATTGCTTCTTTAGCTTCATACTTCAGGGGTCTGCAAACTTTTTCATAAAGGGCCAGATAGTATATATTTTAGGATTTGTGGATCAAACCCTCTGCCTCCCAACTATCCAACTCTGCCTTGTGCTGTAGTGTGAAAGCGGCCATAGACCATACAAGAATGAATGGGCATAGCTGTATTTCCATAAGACTTACATACAAAAACAGGTAATGTGATTTGTCAACCCCTGTCGTATTTTTTCACTAAAAAGAAGAAAAAAGGACTCATTAGCTATACCGAATTGAAAGTGATCCCAAAATTGTTTTACTTCTTTTTGCTGCCCAATTGGGGTACCTGGAGAACGATTTACAATTCGGTTTCTAGTGAAAAAAGAAAAGAAAAAAAGAAAGGCTGTTTCAAAAGATAACATGCTTATCTGGGGATGCAAAGGACTTACTGATCCCATTCTGGAATTGTCTTCTTCCCGACCTGTTATTATTGACTTCTCTTTATTCGATTTCTGTCCCTCCCCCATATGTGTTTCCATGATATTAATACTGAAAAGTGATTTTAAATACAAAAAAAAAAAAGAAAGAAAGAAAAACAAGAAGGATTTGTGAAAAGCAGTTGCACAGTACATAAGGAAATATAGGATTCTAATGCAGTGGATTCTAACAACAAAAGAAGTTGTTTTTACCTTCCAGTTTCTAGGGGGCCAGCAAATTCAGCTTCTCCTATCGCTTACCTGTGCGCCAAGAAATTGCACAACCAGGATTTCTGGTCTCTCAAGGCAATCAAGAGTTGCCTTGAATGAGACATTTGCCCCTGGGGTAAGGTTGCCAGATAAAATACAGGCTGCCCAGTTAGACGTGAATTTCAGATAAACAGCGGCTAATCTTTTAATATAACTATGTTCTATGTAAAATTTATTTTTTATTTGCTCAATCTGGGGATACCGGGGACCTGTTTAATTCGTGAGTGTACAAATTTAGCAGAGGTCCGCGACTGGGGTCCAACTAACCGAGCCGAGCCCAAGGATCCTAGAGGGCTGCAGGTGCCTCCCGGATACCCAGTTTGCCTTTCTAGATGCCGCTCTGCGTTCGGTAAAGTTACTGCTTCTCCCATTCTTTACACTGACACTTCTAGCGCGGCGGGTTTAGAAACCCAGCACAATCCGCTGGTTTCTGGCCGCTTTCCTAAAGTTTCGGATTAGCCGTCCGTGAGGCCCGACCGCCAATCGCTACCTTTGCCGGTGTACAAAGCCCTGACGAGCGGTTGGCTTTTGGCTCCAGGGCCGGGCGGCTTCCGATCCGCGCCGAAGACTGGCCGAGCCGATTAGGCTGCTGTGTTTATTTAACTTTTTTTTTTTTTTTTTTTTAATTGCGCTGCCCTTTCCTTCGGAACCGTTCCGAATTTGCTTCTCCTGTGCCAGTGCGGGAGATCGGGGATGATCAGCGGGCACTTAAAAACAAATCTTGCTTTTCCAAGGGGTTTCACACAAATTTGCCCCCACTCGGAGCGGGTAGCGACAAGATCAGAGACGCGGAGCCAACCGGCCGCCGCTGGGTGGGGCGGGCGTGCGCGCCCATCTCGTCTAGCACCGTGCCTTCCGGAGTCGCGCTTTCCGGACGCGGTCTCAGATTTGGGAGGTTGGGACCTTGAGCGAAACCCCAAACCCTCCCTGCGTGCTAGTCGCGACCTCAGCATATTCTAATTCCACTCTGCCTTTTACAGAGGAGGGGAGGAAGGCCATCCCAAGCCTCCTGGAGGCTTTACCTGGTGAACAAGACGAGCAGCCACTGCAGCGCGGTGGAGAGAGTATCCTGGCTGGCGCCGAAGATGTCTGTGACGGTGGCCGGCACGTACTCTTCCTCAAGCCGCGCGCCGCCGTCGCCAGAGCCCGCGGCAGCTTCTTTTCCTGCCGAGAGCATGAAGGCGTCCATCATGTCGCGGGGAGCGGCCCCGGGCCGAAGGCTTTCACGGTGCCTCAGGAACTTGTCTAGGACGAAGCTGCTGAAGTTGCGATTGAGCGTCTCGAATTCACGGAAGGCAGTGCGCACAGGGTTGGGGAAGCGCTGCAGCCAGGGCAGCACGTCCACCAGGCTGCCCGCGCCCACCGTGCGCCCGAACTCCTCGTTGTGGCTGAGCAGCTCTCGGAACTCGGCGTCGTCGTGGCTGTAGCGGCAGCCGAAGCACACGGCGCTCATGACGTTGGCCACGGCCACCACGGTCAGCGGCCGCGGGTCGAGAAAGGCGCCGCCCGCGCTGCCGCGCACCAGCAGCTCCACCAACTCCCGCGCCTCGCCCAGCACGTGGCCCTCGAGCACCCGGCGGCCGCGCGGCTGGCGCGTGGAGAAGGCTCGCATCGTGCTGTGCGCCGCGCGCCGCTGCGCCTTCCAGCACTCCGAATACTGGCCGAAAGCCAGGCTGCGGCCACCAGACACCACGCGGAAAGAGGCGAAGGGCGGCCGGTCGGCGAACGCGGCGCCCTGCTGCACCAGGGCCTGGCGGATGGCGCGCTCGCCGTTCAGCACCACCACCGGGCAGCTGCCCAGGCGGATCTGGAAGACGTCGCCGTAGCGCCGCGCCAGGCGTGCGAACGAGACGTGAGGCGCCTGGCCCATTGACGCCGCATTTCCGATCAGCGGCCAAGCGAAGGGACCCGGGGGCGCGGACCCCGGCTGCCGCCGCCGCTGCCTCAACAGCCACTGGCCCACGTGCACCGCGGCCAGTACCGAGAGCAGCAACAGGAGCATGGTCTGCTGGGCCGACAGAGGGATAGGTGGCAGATGATCGTCCGGGCTGAGGCTGGTGGCCATGCTGGGGAGAGAAGGGCGAAGGCGTGACACTCAGGTAGGCAGAGAAAGGAGCGGGAGCCCTACGCCCCTACCCCCGGCCTCGGGCTACCGTGCACTGTTGGGTAGGGAGGGGGTCGTGCGTAGGTCAGGTCAGGGCTAGCTCACTGGAGACGCCGCTGAAGACGCCTCTTGCCATCCCAAACCCATTCCCCAAAAGCGAAGGGAAGGGTCGTGTTGCTACCTCTCTGTGACCCAGACTCCCCCCGACCCCGCCCCAGCCGCGTAACGGTTCCTGCAATTCAAGGCCTTGATGCCTTTTCTCTCGGGGAAGGAGGTGCTTAGGCTGTGTCCCGGGGAAACTGTGCGGCCTCGATCTGGGGTGACTGCGAGGAAGAGTGCATCAAGGCTGTGGCGCTCAGTTCCCTCTAAGTGCCTACCACTCCGGCCCCTGCGCCCCCCCGTCACCCCTGATCTGCGAGAACCCATCACAAGTGGCCGCAGGAAGGCGGCTCCGCTGACAGACTGACCTGCAAGGCGGCGCGGTTTCCAGCAGCGCCAGACCGCCGGCTCCGAGGACGGATTGGGGCCTTTGTGGGATTTAAGACCGCAACCTAAGTGTCTCCAGGAAGTCGGAGGCCCTCCCTGGACACCTGTTGCCAGGTCTGGGAACTTTAGCGCCCACTCTGGAGTCTCTAGGCGTCGTCAGAGCCAGAGGCGCTTGGATTGGGATGGGGGCGGAGAAAGGTGTCTTCTTTGCAGAGCCCCGCTGCACCTGGGCCTCGGCAAAGTCAGGGTTTTCTCAGGGCGTGGGGATTGAGACTGCGGGTCGATGAACAGAGTCAATTCCCAGCCCCCACGCCCCCCGCACGGCTCTGACAGCTGGCGGCGCACAGGCGTGGCCCGTTTGCACAGTCACTCGGAAGAGTCAAAACGCGCCATCCCGCTTCTCTCTTTTTTAAGGTCTGTGTTGGGGAGGAGGCAGCGGGACCTGACGGGGGCGGGGCTTGCGGGGGGCGGGGCGCGCCGGGACAGTCCAAGCCTCTCGGACTACAGCTTGGGTCGCCGCGCGCGCGGGTAGTCACGCGAGGCGGCCCCGGAGCGCCCCGACGGCCTTGGCGCAGTAGCTGGCGGCTTTCCTGGAAGCAGCGGTGTGAACTTTTCGTTTGCCCAAAAACCACTCTTCCTCGCAGTCACCCCAGATCGAGGCCGCACAGTTTCCCCGGTGCCTGAGCACCTCCCTGCACTCTCGGTGGGAGCACCTCCACGCACCGAGCGTACGACCTCCCTTCCCTCTTGGTGGCTTGAGCGTCCTTCCCCGAGAGAAAACCGCTCGAGATCCTTGGGCGCCAGAACCGGGAAAGGAAACCTGTCAGTTTGGAAAAGAAAGCTCGCTTGTGGTAGCGGTTTGCCTTACTGCATCCCGAATTGTTTTATTTTTATTTTAACGTTCTCGCAAGCAAATCGGCCGGTCATGTCAGGCCCTTTGGCGAGCAAAGTTCTCCTTCCACCTTGCGCGGCGAGATCGAGAATCCCTGAAGGACGCCGCTCCCTCGCCCCGGGGCCCGGAGTGTCCTTGGCACACAAAGGCCAGCCAGCGCTGGCGCACCGCAGCTGGCCCCAAGGCTTCCCTCGTAGAAACTCCTCCAGGTGGCGCCGCCCACTGGAGAGCGCGGGGCAACGCTGGCCGCGTCGGAGGCCCTGGCGCCCGGCGGGTGAGCCGAGCTGGGACGAACACTGGAGAGAGGAGGGGAGGGAGGGCACTCTGAAGATTCCTGGAGGGAGGAGGCGGGGGGTGGGGGGTAGAAGAGGAGGAGGCCAATCTCCGCACGCCTGCGAACTTTATTGGGTTGAAAAATCTCTTCTGCTGTCGCCTCCCCCTTGCGTGCGGAGCTGTGCCTTGCGTGCGCCGCTTCTGGAAAGTCGGCTCCACTCATGTCCCTCGGCGCTTCTCACGGCACCTGACACGCCGAGGCAGCGGCGGGGGCGGCGGCCGAGGGCGGGGCGCGGC